ATATACATAGTTTTGTATCTTTCAGGCATGTTTCAATGTTTCAGTGATGGTTTGCCATTGCTGGTTTGTTGAATTGTATATATTCTTTTTCCTGCTGGGAAATAGAACTTGAAAAAGGAAACTCTGCAAAATCTCATTCTGAAGGACCTGTAGTTGACTGAGACACATAAGATTATTTGATTGCATGTCTGCACTTGATCTCAGGGTGCTATGGTTCCAGAGACCTCTACCCCAGCTTTATCATTCTATGACTACCCCATTTACTTGATTCTCCCTTAAACTTTAAATTCTGAAAGCAAGAGTGCACATACCATTTGCACCCCAGTGACTAGTAGCATAGGACCAAATACATAAAAAATTCTCAATAAATTTTTGAAGATTGAATGAATAAAAGGATGAGTAAACAACTAAATACTAAAGTTCTAGAGGATCCATAACTCATCAAGGTTTCTCCTTAGTATCAGGATACAAGCAGATTAAGGTTCCCAAAAGTAAAGTATTGGCTTAGATTTAGATTTGTCTCGAACAAGGAAAGATAAAAATTGATCATCAGTTAAACATCCCCTATAGACCACAATCTCTACCTAGGATTCCTACTATGCTCTAATGCTTAAATTTGGCTGTCCCACACATATTTATAAAAAATTAATTTCAATTTCTTTCTACAGCTAATAATCTTCTGTAACATCTAGGCCACTGCTGTCTACATTTTGGAAATTTTAAAATTCTAGTATTTGGCACGCCCTATAGGCTTGGTCCTACCACAGGGATATTGCCAAAGAAGAACCATGCATGTCTTTTTGGACAAAGGATTGGATCACTTGGGGGACCATAAGGAAAATCTTAAAGCCAATGATTGAGATAGAGTGAGAGAGTGAGAGAGAGTGAGCCAGAGAGTCGTTCCAGAGATGTCGGTTTGAAAGAAGACAGGGGAGAGCACAAGCAGCTGGTTTTGCTCCCTAAAAGCCTCCTTATTCTCTTCGGCTTTGACAGATCTTGGATCTCATCTCAAACTTAAAACTGCTAATGAACTGAGACATCTTCTGTAAGTCGATGAAAGTTGTTTCTTCTCCTGGCAATTCATACTCGGTCATAATACAACTAGTCATATGGTTTTGAGGCAGTGTGCTGTGCACTGCTCTCTCTACAAATACAATTCTACAATTTTGTGTTTGTTTTTTTAAAACAAGTTTAACCTATCTTAATTAGAGTGTGAATTTGAGTGTGTGAAGCTCTGATTTGCCCTAGATACAAAATAAGAGCAGCAGCATCTATTGAGTGCCTACTAAGTGCCCAACACTGCTAGGTATGTTACACGCATTTTATAATTGAACTTGGAGAACCTGCCTCCAGAAACATAATTTAAAATTTCATTGACTTTGAAATGGCATGTGATCCTTTCCTTAAGAAACTTACATTCAATGCATTCAACAATAACAATAATAATGTCAGAATTTATAAACACTTTTCTGGTGAGAAATCCAAAGAACACTGAGCTTTCTGTTCTATACTTGGATTCGACTTTCTTTCTTAATTTTTAAATCTAACTTTCTATCTTATATTCCATTTAGCTGATAGCCTCTCCCCAGCAATCTATTTTTCTTTTTACCCATAATAAAAGAGTTAACTGCTTCCTCTATTCTTAAATTAGAAAACATAAAAGTTAAATAAAAATGATTTGGACACTGAAGGCTTTTTTTCTACACTGAAGTATGAAACTTTGCTGTGAGATAATTGATGAGCTATCCATAATCTTACAAATATGCTCTTTACTCATTGCCTAAGTAAATTTCATTTAATTAGAACTTTCATCTTGTTAAATATAATAGCAGATTTCAATTTCCCAGATGGGTTGAAGATCCAGTAAAATTCTTTTCTTATTGCTTAGGCATTACTTCTATATTCTACAGTAAGGTGGTCAGGAATTTAAAGCATTTATATAAAAGTCGTGGTCCAAATTTCCATTTTTTCTCTCCCCTAAAATTAATTAACCAACAAACATTTAGTGAGCACCCCTTGTATCAGGCACCCTGCTAGGGGAGTGATAATACACTAGTGAGCAAAACAGGCACATTGTTTGCCCTTACAGAACTTAACAGCCAACTGGAGGCAAAAGACACTGAACAAACTGTGACAAATTACAAATTACAAGTATGACAAATGCCATGAAGAAGAAGGGCAGGGTGCTATGGGAATGTGCAGTAGGTATAGCCGCCTTGATTGGGGTGAGGAGGTGCAGAGAAGATTTTTCCAAAGACGTTCAAGTTTAGCCTTGAAGCATTAGAAAGGAGAGAGTGGTCTAGGGAGATGTTATCTAGATAAGGGAACGGCTTGTGTAACGGCTGTGAGTGGAAGAGAACACTGTCTACTCAAGGACCTAAGAGAAGGCCACGGTGGCTAGAGCGGTGATGACAAGAAATATTACAGAGAGAGGCAAGGACCAGATCACACGAGTCATCCTAAGGATTGAGAACTGTAGTCTAAGGGCAATGGAAAGCCAATGGAAAATTTATGCCAGGAAATAAAAAAATTTTTAAAGCTTCATATAGCTAAAAAGTGGAATGAATATAAGTATGCATTAATTTACTATTTAATTTGTTCTGGAATGTGTCATTACACCTAGCAATCCAATGATATTAAGAATTTTTATAAATATGGAACAAACTAGATTTCTGATATGTAGAATTTTTCTGAGAATAGAAAAGACCGTAGGAGAGTTAAGCAAAGCAGAACAGTACTTGGGTACATACCCTTAGAATGCTTGGAACTGATGAATGTATGGCCTAAGTATTTTTGCTTTTCATTTACATCACATTTCAACTTGAACTGCAAGTGAAGGTAGTAAAAAAATAAAGGCAGGGAAAGGAAGAAGGTGTGCATGTGTGTCTATGCCTGTGTGTGCACATGTGGTTTCCCACGGTTTTGAAGAAGAGTGGATTTATGACAATGAATGTCAGTATCACCTTCTCTGTGCTCAAAAACAGTAGTCTACCTCACAGAAATTAGGAAAGTGAAGACTACGAAATATTAAAAGATGTTTTTTTCTTTTAGTTGGGTGTTTTAAGAAAAGAAAATGGCAGCTTCTGGGTAATGTAACAGATTTTGACATGAAATATATTAATTGTAGAGACCCCAAGATGGCTTGGTAGCACTGTGCTTGGGGTACTAAAAAGATCCACGAACACCAAGGGCCTTGGACACCATAGAGTGTAAGAGACTAAGGTTTCAATTTTCCTTTTTAATATTCGTCAATCTGCCCTATGAGTGTTTACTCTTGTCTTCTCCAGGTGGTCTCTGCCCATTAAATTAGCAGAGGTACCTTTCCCAGAGGTATTTTCTTATGGGGAGTTGGGAGAAATTCTTGAAGATTAATAAGGGTTCCTTAGTAAATATTAGGAGAATCATAGGAGAGGGAGAGAGAACTTTGACTAGCATTCTTCAATCTCACAGCCGCCCAAACCAGAAGTTTCTTCTCTTGGATCTTGGACTGCTGCTCCCTGACTATCCTTCAGGCTTAGTGACTCCCTCTTAGGAGTAAATAAATGAATATACACTTGGCAAACTGTTTGAAAAGGCTGCTGACCTTTTGTCTAAGAAATCATGAGCTACAGGAGACCTGAGTTTAAAGGTCCGTTTGTATCTGACTCACTATTTGAAGAGAATGAATCACTCATTTGATTGACTCACTCAGCTCCATAGTCTGACGTGTGGTATTTAAAGGGAGCATGGGGCAGCTTCATGCACATTGTGTACCTGAGTCCTGCAACTGATAAGTCATTCTTCTCACCAAAATAGAAGCACATTTATTAAGTACCTAATTGTATACACGACTGGAAAACATTTAGAATATGTAGGCTAAATATCAAAATAAATTAGCACTTGTTAAGGTTTCAGGGAACAGATGAGACATCTATTATTATAAAAAGGGAGGAGGCTTGCTATGTATTAATTGTCAGGTTACCAAAGCTCTCGGTAAATTTGGTAGGAATGTTAAGAGAAGCTTCTCAGCAAGTACTTGGTGTCTGGTTGAAAACTGGCTACTCTTTTTACTTGGGCACAAATGTGGTTATATTAGGCTGTTTTTAGTGACACAAAGTTTTTTAAGTTTCAACCCTCTAGAATGTGACTCACAGTGTCCTGATATTATATACTTGAGACATGGATAGAGAAATCTATCGTCTAGCACTGAAAGAAAATAGGTTCGGGTGCATAGCCATACCTATGAGTATTATAGACAAAGACCAGATAAACTATTATTTCAAAAAATAATGTTACGTTGCAGTAGTTCTAAATTATTTATTTTAGCTTGATATAAAAGAGCGAGAGGCCAAAAAGAAAATTAACATTTATCAAGTGCCAGTGTGGTATGTCAGGCACTCACATACTCAGTCACAGGAAGCCTAAAACAGCTAATGTTTCCATTTTGGTCAAGGAAGAAACCGAAGTTCAGAGACTAAGATGGGGAGAGTTGAATGAATACTCAGGTCTGCTAGCTTATGATTATTACATAAAATCACTTAGGCACAAACTGAAAAACTTAAAGTAGGGTAGGATTAAATGAAATGAGACAGCTTGTCTTTAATTTCTTTTAATTTAGATGTAATCTATATCTGCAGGGGGGAAAATAAATGTAAAAAATCTATTGCAGAAAGATGCTTGTATTCTTTAAATCTTTTGATGGGGCAGCAAACAGAAATGAGATTGGGAAATGTGTATTAAGCAATATGTAAGTTCTGGGACATAATTTTTCTGAATCCAACTAATTTTTGAAAGTTATTTTTGAAATGGGCATCAATGTCTTATAACCTGTAAAATGTAAATGTTACTACACTATATAGTTTGTAGTGACAATCTGTAAAATGTACATGTTACTATACTATATAGTTTGTAGTGACATTGTAAAGCTATTAAGAATCATAAAATTCTTAGGAAAGCTGCTATAAAATAGATTGTTTATATTTCTGACCCTCAACTGTGTACCTGAAGTACTTTGTTCTTACCTTAATTACTGCCCCATCATATTTCATCCTAATTACTTCTCTACTCTCTGGTATCTCTACCAGAAGGTAGGTTCCTTCAAGACAGGCACCAAGTCTTTTTCATCGTGGTATCCATAATACCCTGGACAGTGCCTGAAATATAATAAGTGCTCAGTAAATGTTTATTGAATAAACAACACAACAAAAAGATTCATCTTTTTGACCCTAATTTACTTATTTCCAGAACGAGAAAATAGTAGTACTTTCTTAGATTGCTTATCAGGAGTGTCATAAGTGCTCATATGCTATTTACTGGAGAATGAGCCACAGACATAAAAGGTGTTATTATGATGATTATGAAGGGGGTAATTATTTTACATAATATAAAATTTTTATTCTGGCTAAAATATTTTTAAAAATCTAACCAATACATTTTAGGAAAGAAATGTAGGTGTTTTAGGTAATATGTAACAGTAATCTCCATTTTTTGGGCTCTTAGGATTGAAGAATCAGAGATGAGAACCATCTCTCACTAGGTGGCTCTCTTCCCCGTGAGTGGGCGGGCCCCCTGGTTCAATGAGGGACGACAGAGGCATTGTACAGCTGCAATCACCGTCACACCGCATCACAGCAGGCACTTGCAGCAGCAAGAGGGGCATAGTTCAGTTTCTATTTCGTTAATGACAATCTGTCTTTGGGACTTATTTCAAAGTAGCCGGTACCTTCACTTCCTTCAAACTTACACACCACGTTCCAAATATACATTGATCCAGTCCTTTAATAAGTGCGGTCTCAGGGATCTTGAAAGTCTCTTCACCTAGTATGGAAGACAGCAAGAATCAGATACCCAAACCGAGCCAAACAAAAATAGCCCATTAAAATCTTAATTTTAACTATTCAATGAGGGCTATATTTCTGGAGGGTTTTATACCGTTACACATCCTAAAGTACTTTGGTACAGCTGTTTAAGAGACTCGATAAGAATTGAAAAATATAATTTAACAAAACGTCAGACAATTCCTTCAAACCATTAAGATGACTTCTCCAGATACTTCTCACACGTTCCATATTATTAACCCAATCCTTTATGCCTTTTAGCCCCTACCTGACATAAAATACACATAACAGACATTCAGAAAGATTTGTTCTAATCGAAATCCTTTTCCTAGACGTCTTCCATTGGAACTTCGCACCAGTATCTAGGTTTTTCTTGATTTACTCAACCGTTTCCTCTCCACCCCAAAAGACACAGAATGACAAGTTCTAAAACACTGCAGACCCATTGGAGAAGGAAGAAATTTGAGAGTAGGGAGGAACTCGGCCTGTTTTTAATAATCAAGCGGGAGCCCCATTGGGGGTGCCTTTGAGAGGGATGGCAGTCGTTAGCTTCTCGCCACCACCTCGGCTCTACAAATGCTGTAAACTCACTCGTTAGCCTTCTAGTATGTGTTCCCACTCTCACTCTGGCATCCTTGCGGGGAGGTTGGCTCTGGAAGGCCGCGCTGGGAACTCCGAGGAGGCTCGGTAGCCGAGGGTGTGTTTGGGGGTGGAGGGGAGGGTTGAGAGATTTCTATAAGGGGTCATCCGCTGGGAAAAGTCTTGTCCTCAGCAGAAGAGGGATCGCGGCTGTCGTGTGCCGTTCTCCTCCCTCAGGGACCCCGTCCTGGTGGGATCCCGCCTTCCAGAGCCCGAGACAGTAGTGGGGAAACCCCTCGTCCGCCTCGCAGCTCAGCGCCGCCCGCCGTCCGCCAGCCTTCAGGCCCTGCTTCTTCGCAGGCCCGGCCTCTCCAAGCCTGGCAATAGGAGGAAACTATGGAGGTGGTTCCCGCTCTCAGGCGGGTGGAAAACCCACGGGGAATGCCTTAGGGTCTCCCCCAAGGCCGCGGGAAGGGGAAAGGGAGGAGGAAATGAACTTCACCGCCCACGAGAACTATCCGGATTCCCATTCTGGGGGAGGCCTTTAAGATATAAGGGAAACCAAGGGGGAACCCTGGGTACCTTCCCGGGAATCCATTCGCCAAGGGAGGGTCACCCGGTCAGCATACATTGGTTACTATGACAATACAACCAAAGCCTCCAGTTGCCATGGCAGCTGCTTATCCAATCCCATTGGTTTTCTCTCTCTCCCTGGGCTCCACTTCATCCCATCCAACAATCTCCCTGCGTGCAGGGGGAGGGACTGTAAAAAAGGAGGGAGTCCTTAGCGTCACTCTGGGCGCGAAGGAAAACAAGAGTCGAGGGACTGGCAGGCGGAACTGTAGGAGGAAGGGGCGGCGTTTCCGGTAGGCAAAAAGTGGAGAAGTTGAGCGGAGTGGAAAGACGGGGGGAAGACTTTGAGTGTAACCCCCGGTAGATTTGGGCTCGATGTTCCCAGTCAGGCTGGGGTTGCCCCCTCGCGCGGGAGGAGAGGGGTGGATTGGCCAGAAGCCACCAAGCGCCCCCAGCTGGCTGCTCAGCAGCCGCACAATAGCCGCACAACTAGCTGATCCCAAGAGGGAGCGCTACAGAGAGTCGGAAATCACCCGGAGGGACCGGCGCCGCTGAAATCTCGCGAGAGGGAGCACACTTCCTTCCTCTGCTTCTCCCTCCTCTTTCCCCCGCCCCCTTCCCTTTACCCTCCCCCTCCCTCCTCCCGGGTCGGAGTGTCCCTGCGCCCCACGGGCCGGAGCAGCAGTGAGAGCAGCTTTCCCCGCTCCCTCCCTCTCGCCTCACTCACCCTCACCCCCACCCCCCGCCGAGCGAGGAGGAGCCGGAGGAGAGGAAGATGGCGGCGGCCGCCAGCACCCGCGGTGCCGCGGGGCCGCTCCGAGGAGCCTGAGAAACCCACAGAGGCTTCGCGGGAAGACGCGGCGGCGGAGGATGAGCCTGCAGAGCGCGCAGTATCTCCGGTGAGTGCCGAGGCCCGCCGCGTACATAGGGAGAGCTGGCCGAAGGTTGGGGCATGGAGCAACAGACACAGAGGTGGTATATCCGGGGTGGCGGGGGAGTTGCTGTGTCCTCTCCTTCCCCAGCGGGGAGGCGGGGGCTGCGAGAGGATCGGCGGCAGGCGGCGGAGCCGGCATACACAGGGGTGCCTAGCCCCCGCGGGCCGGGCTGAGTTCCAGCGAAGCCGGCTCGTCTTGGTGCGGGAAGGAGGTTAGGGAAGCGTGAGAATGTGCGCGCGCGCCCGTGGTCGCGGGCTCGCTGTGGGGGTCGGGGGGAGGCGCCCCGGGAGGCGGCAGCGACCCGAAGTGGAGGTGGGTGTGGAGTCTGATCCTGGTGGCGGGGGAAACGTGGTGTGGTGTGGGATTGGCTGGAGCGATGCATGATCAGAAGATGGGGTGGAAGTCTGCGCACCTGGGGTTTGTGGTGGGGGAGGAAGCTGGGGAGGGAGAGACTACAGGAAACTAGAGTTTGTTCTTCATTCTTAGGGTGGAAGTGCTGAGGAATAATGTCACCTGTAGTTAGTTGGCAGGGCGGGGGTGGGGACATAAAGAGTGAGAATGGTTGAGGAAGTGAAGAAAAAGGGAGGTACAATGGCCGGGGTTGGGTTCACCAGTAGAAACTGGGTTAGAATCAGTGTAGTCGGGAGATACCATTCATTAAGAGTGCTATAAGGAACTTGTATGTTTGAGATAGAGTGACGCAAGGGTACAGTGTGCTGGTATGAGATGGGGGTGGGGTGGCGATTGATATAACACATTTTAGGAGGGGAAAATGCAGACACGTTGGAAGTACATAATGGCGAGAGCATATTGAATGAAAAGACACCAAGCTATTGTGCAGCCAGGACCGTTCCATGGAAGCTGAATGAAGAGCTCGGAGGTAGAGGTAAATGAGGGACACAGTCCTGATGGCAGAGAGAAATAGAGCCTGAGACTAATTGGGGAGTTGTTACTGCTTAGAAAAGGGGAAGGCAGACCTTCAGACCTTCAGACCTTCAGACCTTTCAGGAGCAGAACTAAGAGGGGCAGGCTTATGGGAAGATGTTTTAAAAAGTGATTTCATACCTTGTGGAGGAGGAAATTGGATGGGGTAGAAGTCAAAAAAGAACAGAAAAGTCACTTTAGCTGTTTAGCGAAGTGAAACTATTGATGTGTGAGTGGGTCCCTACATATATATTGCAAGGAAAGATATGTAGTGATACGTCGAGGTGGCTTTTCTACTTTTGAAAGGAGTGAGTTTTATTAAGCAGAGTGGAGAAGAGAGAATAATGAGATCTTTGAATTATGGTTGAATGCTTGAGTTTAACAGGAACAGGATTCACACAACATGCGTGCCCAATGACTATAGGGTAGTTAGAATGATATCTGTATATCAGGATCCTTTTTTTCTCCTTATCTATCGTTTCATATGTCAGATAAACTTAAATACAACCATGGCAAAGATCTATGGTAGATGCTGTAGAGGGGGGATATGGAAACTGTCAGGACAGTCCTTAATTTTAAGGAGTTTTGAGTTTAGTTTTGAGTTTAGTATACATTAGGCAAGTAAATACATAATAGCACAGAGTAAAGATGGTAAGTATCATAAAAGATGCCAAGTGTTATAAGAGTCCAAAGGCAAGAGATTACCTGAGCATTTAGGGGGACTCAGGAAAAGCTTTCTTTGCTCATTTGCTCATTCATACACTCTTCACCAGTCCTTTTGTCGATCACCTACATGGAAGGCGTTGTATTAGCTGCTGAGAATAGAAAACTAAGAACTCCACATTCCTCTTACAGAGTGTACAGTTTGTTAGTCTTCAAGGAGAAAACGACACTTAAAATGGACCTGAAGAATAAACAATATTCTGACAGGTATGGATTGCAAAAAAAGAGGGATCCAAATGGAAGGAAACTGAGCAGAGATTTGTAGGATAAGAGGGTTGGGGAACAGAGGAGGTATTCAGTCCAGTTACACAACAACATAGGGCGATGCAGCTGGAAAAATGTATAGAGTTTTAGAGGTTATTTTAAGTGCGATTCCTTCCTTTTACACATGAGGAAAGTATAGCCCAAAGAAGTTAGAATTGTTGAGGATCAGGTAGCTGGTGTGTGGAAGTTGTGTAACTCAAATGTAGGTCTTTAAACTGCAAATCAGCTGTACTGTGCAACATGTCTGGGTTTACCCATTCTTTATGCAAATAATGTGTTGAGAACTTACTATATTCTAGGCACTGAGGATATCATGGAAAACAAAATGAACAGATTAATATTTACCAGGTGGTGATGAGTACTAGGGGAAAAAAATAAAGCAACATAAAGATGGGCAATTTTATACAGACGGGATAATCAGGGAAAGCCTGCTATAAGGAGTCCATATTTGAGAGGGTCTCGATTATCATGATCCATAGTTTATAGTTAAAACGGGTAGACAGTAGACAATCTGAGATTTGTTTAGAACAGAATTCACATATTCACATTTGTATATTAAGAAGATGAACCCGTATAGTGTAATGATCAGTTAAGCCCAGAAATAAGGTCACAGTGTCAGTGGGACTAGAAAGGTATGAAAAGCAGATGTGAGAATAGTAATATAATTTTAATGGGAAGATTAGTTGGCTTTGAGAGCCTTCTTTGTTAATATCTTATATTTTGTAAGTCAGCATGGTCGGGAAGACATCATCATAGTGACAGTTGGAGATGAATTTAGTTCTTAAAAGAAGGGAGAAAACACAATGTTTGAATAACCTATATTTTCCAGCTAAAGTTGAACAGGTAAAATTGAGCAGGCATAGGACTTGGAGTCCGTTTAGAGATTCCTGGGAGCCAATCTTGCACATCTATCCTAAGTAAATAAGTCTTCATGGCTAACAGTGGTCTGGGACAAGTCTTTGTAATAAAAACAGACTTACACCAGCCCCAATTTCTCTCTTCTTTTTTTTAAGATAATAGTTGTATTTTAAGTCTGCTGTGGGGAGACCAGAGAATGTCTTCGGGAAAGCATTATGTTCACTTTGTTAGATGAAAGTGGAACTGTTAGTTTTTATAAACGGCTCCGGGTCAATGCTGGATATTGCTGAATGAGTGCAGTTGGGGGTATAGCAGTTATTCTTTGTGACCTTGACTTCAGGAAGAGTTTTCTTGCCTACCTTTGTCAGTGGTGTAAGACCATGACTGGGCAGTTTTTAAACTGCATGACTACAGATCTTCCCTCATGTAGATGAAAATTAGTTTGTCTCAGCTGAATTAATTTGTTAAGGAGTAAGTGAACTGGGTTGTTCAGTATTGAAATGGTGGAATGGTGGCAATCCAAGAAGCAAGGTGGCAGTTTCAAAAGAGTAAAAAATGATAATATTAGGTAAGAAGCATCAGTAAAACAAAGAAAGAGAAGAAATTCAACATCAAGTGGACTAAATTAGTCTTGAGTTACAGAAATAAAGCAGAGATAAAAGGAAAAAAACTATTCTCTGTATGGGAAAGAAGGTGGTGACCTGGGCAAGAAAGGAGAATGAAACTTTTTTATTAGAAGGGAAATGTCATATAAAAAAAGAAATAGACTGACAAGACTCCTATCCAGATGAATAAGTTGAGAATACGTAGATTTTATAAAATAAGAAATGGTCTTAAATATGAGAGTTCTAGACTGACATTGGAAATTTATTACCCAACTTGAAAAAAATTCAGTATTTTCTCTTGATTTATGACAAAATGGAAATTTTAAAAGACTTTGACATTTCTGTTGAGTAAAAGAAAAGGGTGTATTGAATATAGTTCATTTGAAAAGGGTGGGAGAGGGTGAAGATAGGCCATAGATAAGATAGGAAGTGAGGTATAATTTCATGCTTTCGTAGAATAGCATTTGAAAAAAATAGAAATATGGAAATTAACATATCATATTTAGAAAAACAGGGGTTGGGGAGGTACTGAAGTACCACAGGGAAGACATCAACGAAGTTGTTTTGGAAGATGAGAAAGTAATCATAGCCATAGGGAATAGCAGTCAAACAGGTCAAATCCTGTTATAAAAGGTGACACAAGGGCCACTGAATGACATCTGCTGTCCTTGTGGGAACCAACTGTTTATACTCTACTCCCTCCAACTATCTTCCTTTCTTCACTAGTCTCCTTTTGTGTTTAACTTCTTTCTATGATGTAGGTTTTTCCACCTGAAGTGGGTTCTTGGTATTAGTCAGTCCCCTTACAGGAAAGGTCTACAAATTGTCCCTTTAGTTAGAGCGTTTTTTGCATTATACCTCTTAGTGAAGAGGTTGCATTCCAGTGGCACACTTCTTTGTCAGAAACTTTGTTACTAGAGGTAGAATAATATAATAGCCACAAGGTTATTTTCTGAGGCAGAAGAAAAATGGTTGTCATTTAGATACGAATTGAAATACCCAATATGCTGTAAGATAAAATGTGTCCCTGTAAATCTTGGGACAGAGGGAGACAAAGGGAGTTGAGGCTGTTAAAGTAAGCAGACCCTTATCCTAGCCTGGGGAGAGGAACAGGGAAGTTGGTGGGAGTGTTTAGGAGGAGTAGGTATGCTAAATAGGGTGGTCTCCAGGTTCTGCCTA